GGAGTGGGAGGAGCTGCCCCTGAGCCTGGACATCAGGCATGGGAGAGGAACTGGGAAACTTAGGGTGGGGGAGTGGGATTGGGAGTATAAGCGAAAGAGATGTGGCAGCTTCCTGGTCCTCAACTCCAGTATCCCTACCTCTTAGAAAGGAGCAGAGGTAGCTTCCACCATGGTGACCCTGAGGAGATAGAGCAGTTCCCTCCAAGGGGAAGTAATAAAGCATGAACAATAATATTAATATAATAATAAATGCAGATACCATTTATTAAGTGCCCATTATGTACCAGATACTTTCTTTGCATGGTGCCATTTAATCCAGGGAGGCAGATGTTCTTATTTCCATTTTATCACTGACAAAACAAACTCCAAGAAACTAAATAACTTGTCCAAGGCAGGGTGGGGGTGAGGAGTAGGTTGAGAGGACACCAGGGACACTGGCTTCCAGGTTCGTGCCCACGTTCCTACACCACCCTGCAGAAAGGCGTGTGGGGTAAAGCAGAGTGGCTGGCCCTCAGGCATAGAGGATGGAAGTGCTGAGTGGGTACTGAGACTACGCCAGCTGGGTTGCCCCTCTGTCCCCTGGACGGTCCAGAGAGGAATAGTGGGGGCTGAGGCCTCGGTGCTGAGAGAGATGAGGGTATCAGGGGAGTCGTGGTGCTGAGAGTTCCACTCTGGGCACCCAAAGACCTGCGTTCTAACCAGGACTGTACCCTCATTTGCTGGTGACTATGCTGAGTATTTGGATGAAGGCTAATATCTCTCTCTTTTATTAAAGGGTTCTAGGATTTGGAGAATGGAAGGTCACTTCTGGACTTTCCTCCTTTTGAAAGGTGTAAAAATTTCACATTCCCTGATGATCCACTTGTTTGAACTCTCAGACTCAGGATGCCCTGGACCTGTGGCAAGCATGGAGTCTGTGCTCACCTGGGAACAGGCTGGAAGCTGAGGGAGGGGCAGGACAGAGCTCCCGTCCAGCTCCAACCAGTGATGGATCACCTGGTCTCTTGTTGCCTTAGAGCCCCAAGGATTCCTGGTCTTGCAGTGGGAGAACAGGCACCTGTGAGCCTGTGGAAGACTCAGGGAGGGCCTGGTGCTGGGCACAGCTCTGGCACATGGTCTGGTTTGGTCAGGGGCCAGGCTGCAGGGGAGCAGCAGACTGGCTATACGATGCTAGAGCAAGAGGATCCCTCCTTCTGGGTGCTTTGCCAGGGAATGGTCCAGCTTTGGCTCCTCAGCACCTGGAGACACAAGGGTCTGGCTGGATTCTTGAGGTGGAACAAGAACTAGTGAAAAATCCAGGACATGAGAGTCAGAGAGGCCCATTGAGTCTGGGCAGGTGCCTCATTTCCAGCCTGAAGGCCATGGGAAACTCATTTCTATGCAGAGCCCGTGGTTCCTCAGCTGCCCATCTTGGAAGGTTGGTGAGAATTAAATGAACGGATACAAATTAAGTGTCCGGAAGAGCCTGCCAAAGAGTCAATAATAAATGGAGGCTGCCATTATTATTGTTGTGCTGTTGCTGTTAATAAAATAACAGGGCTGGGGCTAGAGCTCAGTAGTGGAGGGTTTAACCTAGCATACGTGAAGCCCTGGGTTCCATGCCTAGTACTCCAAAAATAGATAAATAAGCAAAGAAACAGATAAAGAAGCATCCTGAAAAAGTGGAAGGGGCAGGGGTCTAGGAATCAGATTTTGCCCTTGCCCCCCCCCCCACTACTCTGTGTCTCTTTTCACCCCTCTGATTCCTATCTGTAAGAAGAGGGGGTGGTACCAGCTGATCCCCAGACCCCTTCCTGCTCTGACAGCCCCTGGCTATGAATAGACCAAGCTGGGGCACTGGAGGAGTTTGATGACTCAACAGCTAGGGAGGGTAAGGTTTCCCAAGGAAAGAGTTTCCATTTGTGTTTGGTGAACTTGGAGAACAACAAAGGAAGGGTTTCCTGGCTGGGAGGCCAGGGATGAGGGAGCAGGAGGAACCCTCGAAGCCAGTGGAGACTGTGACTAACCAGGTGAATGACTAAGTCCGGCCAGGCTGACCTTCAACCAATCAGGGATGCCTATGAGCACCCTGCAAGCTGGCATCACCCAGCACACTGTGGCTCTGCCAGGCCCAGCTGAGTCTGGGCTTCACAGCATATGGAGGCAAAGGAAGCAGCCAAGAGGCCAGCAGGGAAAGAGCACCGGGCTGGAGTCAGAAGACCCAGCTTCCGGCTCTGACTCTGCTGCTCACCAGCTGGGTGGCTCCAGGGGGTTCTCTTCTCTGACCTGACCTCCCCCCAGCTTCATCTGTACAAGGGAGATAACAGTATCTGCCCTGGTAACTTCACCAAGTGGTGAAGGCTGAGAACCAATCATGAGATGAAAACACTGTGATCACTAAGATACCAGATTAATGGTAGTTTCTGTCATTATTCCATTCCTATGGGACTCCCCATGAGAGGTTCCCAAAACAGGTGTACAGGGGCTGTTGCCCTTGGGTTTTGGGTAAGGGTCACTTTAATAGCAATCCAACACAAGGCCCATCACTGCCCACCCAGGTAGGGTTTGCTTAGAGCAGAATCCCTGTAGGCAGTTTCCTGCTAGGTGGCATAGTCACAGTGGGAGATGACAAAAAACCTGAGATGGTTAGGCAGGGCAAGGAGTACCAGTCTGGGGACCCCCAGAACTGGGATGATGGTCTGATGCTGTCTTTCTTCTTGCTCAGCACTGTATAAATAAATAATCGCTGGAACTGCGCTCTGCTTCTAGCCCCAGCTTTTAAGCCTGTCTCTAGGTGAGGACCACAAGCACTTTGGGAAAAAATGGCAAGAATGAAGGAGAAGGGTGGTGCCCTTTCTTTTCTGCATACCTTAGACCCATCAATAACATTTCCTGAGTGCTCACAGCTGCTGGGTACCGAGCTGGAACTGGGAGTACAGCAGTGGGACCTACAAGGCTCTGCTCACATGGAGATTAATTATAGTGTGGTTAAAGAGACAAACGCACCTTCTAAAATGTGAATAACCATTCAAATGAGCCTGCACTTGATCTCTCAGGTGGTCTTGATAATAAATCCTGTGGTCGTCCACAGCAATGCCTGGGAGGCTTTGCAGAGCAGGTAGGATTTGAGCTGGACCTAGATGGTTAGCTTGGACAAGATAAAGAGAAGACCTAGAAAAGGCGCACACTTAACGCATCCTCAGGGGATAGTCCGGCTGTAGCAGAGAGCAATCATGTAAGTAAGAAATGAGAAATAAAGTCAGATAGAGAGGTTGGAGCCAGGTATAAAGGTCCTTAAAATTGGATATAAGGGGAATGAACTAGATCCTGTGGGCAGTGGGGAATCATGAGGGTGTTTGAGGAGGGAATAGGTACAGTGGGACTGTTTGGGGAGATTTTTTTTTCTGGCAGTCCTGTCCAGGTAAGGGTGAATTATTGGGGAGGTCACTATGGAGCTGGGGACCATGGTCTAAGAAAGAAAGTGGGGCAGCAAGCAAGCACTTAGTGTGGGAAAGACAGAGGGAAAACCTGAGTCCGCAGTTAGTCTGATTCTCCAGACAGCTGAACAGCTATTGGAACTCTGGCAGGTGGCAGTGGGTGTAAGAGGACGGACTGCAGACCAAACCTGGTCTGGTCCTTCTCATGCTCCTCTTTGGGCAGGTCTTTGGTCTCCAGAGAGCTGCAAGCCTTGGAACAGAGTCCTGCAGTGGATAGAAAGTGCCCAGTTCTGCCTTTTACCCCACGACTCTCCTTGACTCCTGTTGACTCCCAGGAAAACACTGCCATCTTGTCAGAGGCCACGCCAAATGGCCATGAGCCCCTGGGAATTCAGCCAAGGCAAGGAGGGGGGTCATGGAGAGAAAAAAGATTGGAGAAAGATGGAGGAAACAGTTCCTGGAGGCATCCCAATTGGCTTGAGGGGAAGGTGGGTTTCCAACTTAGAATCTAACTACAACAGGGCTGGGAAGAGCCCTTGAGATCATTTTGGCCAGACTCTCCATATCTGGACATTAGCCTGAGTCCCAAGCAGGGAAAGGTACTTGCCCAAGGTCATACAACCTGTAAGTGATGGAGCTGGGATGGACTTGTAGGGTCTCAGGAAAGGGTAAAGTGTTTAATTCTGTCTGGACCTTTGAGTAGCACCATCAAGGGCCTGGCTGGAGAATCCTTTCCTGAACATCCATTTGTGTGCTATGCTGTGTGTGTGTTGTGTGTGCACACACGTGTGTGCAACCTTGTCCTGTGTGTGCCCTGTGTATATCTGTGTCTATGCTGTCAGAGGATCTGGTGTGCATGTGGCCTCCTACACAGTGATCCGCACTGGCTTAGTAAAGAGAACTGGAGCCATTCCTGTGAGGTAACTGTTTTGCTGGGACAGTGGGGAGAGCAAGGCTGGCAGGTCTGGATCTGGCTTCCAGCACCAGCTCTGCTGCCCTAAGAAAATCACATGCACTGGTTGGTGGTGCCCAAACTCCTGGAGTTGGACACACACACACACACACACACACACAACAAGCAGCACTCACAGCCGCAGTTACAGGATGTTCCTGGCACCCAGAGTGGTCGCGAGTGCCGCGGAGTGTCGCCTACCGGCATCTGCACGCCGCCCTGGAGCCCAGCAGGTGTAGACACTCGGGCGTGGAAGCCCATCCGCAGGGACACAGAGGAGTCGCGCGCTCCTGCTGTTCACACTGGGCGCCCTGCCCCAGGGCCTAGCCCGGCCACACCCCTCCTCCTGAGCCTCTGCCAGTCGTTCCTGCCCCTCTCACACACTTCAAATCCCCGGGGGTCCTCGCGTAGCCCGGCGGGGCCAAGTTAGGGCTGGCCTGGCCAGAGATTCGGGTCCTGAGCCAGAAATCAACGCCTTCTCCGAGTGCGGTCCCCACAGAGCAGACTCGCCGGGCTGAACTCGGGTGCTGGGAGCGCGCGGTTTGGCGCCCAGCCCCTCTCGCCAGAACCCCCCAGCCGCAGCAGGCTCCCGACAGCCCCGGGTCCCCGCCCGCCGCGCGCAGAGTAGTTACCGATGGTGGTGATGACGGTGATGGCGAAGTAGAAGGAGCCGGCGAAGCGCCACTGCACGCCGGCCTTGTGAGGCTTGAGGCGCAGCACGACGCGCTCGAGCTCCTCGTAGCCGCCGTCGCTGAGGTTGTAGCGCGCCCGCAGCTCCTGCTGCCGCAGCTCCAGCCGCTCCCGCTCGATCATCTCGGGCTCGGATTCCAGCGCGTCGAAGACCGCGGCGCCCACCAGCAGGTAGGTGAAGGTGCACACGATGAGCGCCAGCGTGCGCACATTCTGCCGCTTCATCGTTCCCCTCGGGCCGCCGCCGGCCCCCCGGCGCCCCCGGCCCGCGCCCCGGCCGCCGCTGCTGCTGCCCCGGAGGCGGCCTGGGGCATGGCTGCGCTCGCCGCTCTCCGCGCCGGGCTCCCGCTCCGCGCAGCCTGGGCCGCCGCCGCCGCCGCCGCCGCCGCCGCCGCGGAGCTGTCCCTTCAGCACCACCCACCGCCCTCCTCCGCCCGGCCCCGCGCCCGCCCCCGCGCCCGCCCCCAGCCCGCCGGCCGCCTCCTCCCGCCAGCCCTCCCGCCCAGCCAAATAAGGACTGGGGAGCCGCGCCGAGTGAGGGGGGCCGGCGAGGGGGAGGAAGGGGGAGCGCGCGGGGAGAGCCCGGGCAGGACACGGGGAGGGAGTGTGGGAGAAGCCGAGCGGGGGGGGCGGGGGGGAGAGGGGAAGAGGGAGAGAGCGAGCGCGCCGGCCCCAGAGCCAGCGAAGAAACTAGACCGGGAAACACAGATAACTACAGAGAGAGGGGGAGACGCAGGGAAGGGGTGTGTGTGACCGAGGAGGCAAAACCAGAGGTAGACACGCAGACCCAGAAAAAGAAGAGGCAGGTAGGAGAATACGCGGGCAAAGGATAGAAACAAAGCCACAGACTTGAGACTGAGATACCTGGAGAGCTGGAGAGATAAGCAGATGCCACAGAAAGACAGCAAAGCAAGGAAGGGGAAAAGACAGGAGAGCCCCTCCCCCACTGCCCACCCAGATCACAGCATGTTGTCACTGGAAGGGACCTTAGGCTTTGCTGTCTTGCCCCTTATATGGGCAAGGAAACTGAGGCACAGAGGGGTGCGGTACGATTCAGGGCACTCGGTGTGTTGGCCACAGCACTGGGACTCAGCTAAGCTTTCCCTTCCCACAGGCCACACTCCCTCCCCTGCTTGGGGCTCAGGCTGTCTCAGAAACAAGCAGGGCCCAACTAGGGACCTGGGTACACATGAGCCCACACCCAAGGGAGAGCTGCTCTCCGGAAATGGGTCCCTCCCAGATCTGTGCAGCCTCCAGAACTGGGTGAGGAAACAGGCTAGTAGCTCAGCCCAGTTCTGCTCCTTAGGAGCTTTCAGGCTGTCATGTCATCCATGCTTTTGCCCTGCGCCAGTGTGCCAGGCAGGGCTCTGGGCTGCCAGAGATACCTTCACTGCCACCTTGGGGCATCCCAGCAGGACAGGGATTTGGGGCCCAGATCAGGTGGCTCCGGACTGGAAGGACTGGAGCAGTTTCCCTGTACCTCAGTATCTTCATTTGTCAACACTGTGACTGTTGTGGTGAAGAGAGACAGGCAGGGGACCTCAGGCGAGGTGTCGCTGCCTCTCTCGGAGCCTTCTGTCTTTATCTCTTCCGTGAGGTGTCATAGCAGATGAGCCCACAGTCCTTGCTCAGCTCCTATAGCTCTGGATGGGCTGAGTGAGCAGAATGATTGGAATGCAAATCCCAGTGCCAAGGAGGGTCAAAAAGTCCTTCATGGGACCCTGGCATAGGCCACACAGACATGGAAGAGGCCCAAGGCCCCTTACTGAGGACAGGCTCGGAAGGCAACCAGCCAGAAGCGAGGCACCATCTGCCACATCCTGGGCCAGCCTGTCACTGCCAGCTACCACATTCCTTCTCCAATGGCACCCAGAAGTGCCACTAACCATTCATTCCACAACCATTCATGCCACAAGTATTCATCAAGCATCTGCTATGTGTTTGGCTAGGTGTGCTATATTTGTTATCTCTAGTCCCCACCTTAGTCCTGAAAGGCAGGTCTACTTATACTCATGACCATTTTAAAGATGGATAAACTGAGGCTAAAAGCAATGCAGACAATAACCAAAGGTCACTCAACTCCTCAACTTCCCAGCTTCCCAAGGGTTGGGTACAAGGTAGGCTCTATGCACTTATGATATATTGGGTTTTGGTCATATTCACTCTAGAGACCAGTCCCCCCAAAGTCTATCTTCCTATGTAAGGGACTTGCTCGACCTGCTTGTCAGAATGAGAATGCAGTGTGTCCAGGGTTTGCTTGTTTCTGGCTGCCAAGCCCGATTGCTGTACAGATGAAAGGTGATAATATGAGTGAAAGAGCTTTGGAAAAAAGAAAAAGCTGTTTTGGGGGCAGGGCATTCATTATTAATTATGATTAAGCTCGTTCTTACAGCATTTTGGAACCAGAAAGACCTTTAGAAATAATCTAGTTCAGCCTTCTCATGTTACAGATGAGGAAACTGAGACCCAGGGATGGGGTTGCTGAAAGTTGCACAGTGAGGGAGTGGGCAGAAACGAGGCTCATGCTCTCTGGCGTGCAGCACCCATTATGGATGGGACCAGGGGACCTGTTAGTGGGGAGCACTTAAGACATCCCAGGAGGGTGGCCTGGATCCCCTCCTTCCCTCTTCTCCACCATCCTGTCTCTTGTGGAATGGGAACCAGAGTGGAGGAGCCATCCTGGCACAGTTTAGGTTTCTGAGTGGCCCCTGGGACTTTTGCATGGAACGTTTGCATGCTCTCTTGACTTGGGTTGGCTTGTGCTCAGAACATAGCAGCCTATCTTACTTCCTTCCATGCAGGACTCCCTGGGTCTGCCCATACGTGCCCAAGGTCAGCCTGTCTCTGCCTCCTGTTTGCTGTGGCATTTGGGGTCCATCAGTCATCTTCCTGTGCCTTAGTTTGCACATCCTTAAATTAAGGGGTGGTTAGACCAGGAAATGTGCACCTTTCTTTCATTTAGAACATCCGAGGACCCTCCTGGGTTGCTTACATCTGTTTTCCCAGTTCTCTCAAGAATTAGGCCAAGAAGAGGAATAGCCACTGCTTTGAAGACTGACAGAGTTAAGATCAATAGTCTAGAATTTGTCATTAGTTGCTGTATTTGATTATACACTAAACATTATACATGATTACTTTCCAACTTCATCTTTTACTCCATTTCTCTGTTAGGTTCTAAACACATCTGAGTACTTTCATGCTTCACGTGACTCAAGTGGCTCTCATAAACTGGGATACTGGTAACTCCTTGCCTCTCCCATTTGACTGTCAACCTCTTATTCCAACCTCTTATTCAGGCTTTAAGACCCAAGTCAGAGGCCATTCTCTCCGTGAAGAATTCCCTGGTTGCCTCCTATCGGAGCCACCAGTTCTTTTGTTCTTCCACAGACTCATGGGTAAGCTTCAATTCAGCCTTTCCTCTGCCTAGTAGATTAGCTGGCTCTTTAGTTGTTCTCTTCCCATCGGCTCAGTGTTTTTTCCAGGTAGCGACCCTACTTACTCTCTTGCTACTCTTCCCACAGTGCTTTGCATATCAGAGCTGCCCTATATGTTTCCTTGGTACTTAAGTGAAGGTTTGAAGAATCCTGAACTGCTGGGTTCAAAACCAGCAGCATCAGTGGGAGAGGGATGCAGAGGGCTGAGTCTCAGGCAGAAAAGCTCAGCAATCTGCTTCTGTGACTACAGACAGATACTTCTAAAGCTGGAGCAAGCCCTGTCAGAGAGAAGGAAGGTACAGGCAGATATCAGTGTCCCAAAGCCCAAAGAAGCATGTCACACAAAGGAGAGGGTCTTGAACTGGGAGTTCAGAGGCCTGGAGTTCAGTGCCAGTGCTGCTGGAGGCATTGGGAGGGCCATATGGCCCATCTGTGCCTCAGTTTCCTTTCCTCTGAGAGAAAAGTGTTGACTATGTCAGAAGGTCCCTTCTCACTCTGATGACCTGGAATACTAATGAGAGCCCTACTCATTCTACAATGGCTGAGAATGTGGCCTGAAGAATGGCAGGTAGAAGAGTGCACAGAGATCCCTCTATTCATTGCTTCTCAGTCCTGCTTTATGGGCAGTTTTGTTGGAGACTGGGGCAGTACCAGTGAGAGAGGGAGTAGAGTTAGACAGGCTAGATTCAAATTTCAGCCCCATCAGTTATGAGCTGGACCAGAGCCTCATGTGAAATTCTGGTCCATCCTATGTCTAGAGCAGGTATAAGCTCCTGCAGGGCAGGGACAGGCCTTACTCCTGTCTGCACCCCTTATCCATTAGCCAGAGCCGAGAAGGGCTCTGCAAGCTCTCCTCTATCTGTTCCTGTCAGCTTGGCTGACATAGGCGGGTTGGTAGGGCCTGGGGCTCATGGTTCACTCCAGCAGCATCAGTAAGGGACAGGCCAGAAAAGGAGGGGCAGGACCCAGGAGCTGCAGCAGAAAGACAGGGAATGACCAACACAGACCACGAATCCAGGAGCCCCAGCTTCAGGCTTCACTTTGGTGAGATTTAGGGTGCTCTGGATGTGATCGAGATGTTTCTTAGTGTATCTCTGCAGGGAGAGAAGTTGGAGATTAGCCTGGCTTTACAGAGCATAACCCGGTCCCATTGCACCCAGCTTGCGTTTGTCAAGAGACACTGTTTGTTTAACATCTCAAGCCCAAATCAAACACAAAAGGCAACTGTTAGCAAAGCAAGCCTCTGTGGGCTGCTGAGAGACAGCACTGCTGGGAAGCTGGACACCTGGCCCTCTTAGTCCTGCCCCAGTTGAGCTGTGTTACCTGGGGAAAGGGCTGTCCTTTTATGGACCAAAATGAAAGCTCAGACTCAGAGATGAATGAGGCTAGCCCCAGCCCTGGGTTGGGCTTGGCTCTCGTAATGAGGAGAGAGGAACAACTGATCTTGGTGAAGTTGCTGTGGGGTCAGGCCTGCTCCTACCCGTCACTAATATAAAGCCAAGTCTTTACCCCAAAGCTGCATGTCCTGCATCTGATGGAGCCCTTCTCCTAGACAGGGCCTCCTAAGTGCCTCCTTCTCTCTGACAATGAGTACTGGCCTGTGATGAGCACAGTGGTCACTGTATATTTGCCCACTGCATGTCCCTAAGTCCTATTGAGTTGTCCTCTGCATGGCTGTCTTGGTTTACATTCTCCCCAGCAATGTGTGAGATTATCCACTTCATCCTTCTCAAAACTTTTATTTTTCAGTTTTTCTGGTTTTGTCATTTATATGCTTCCCTACTTTCTACTCATTCCCTTCATTTTCTCCCTTTTCCTTTCTTCAAAACCTCCTCCTCCTCCCCACACTTGGAGCAGGGACACAGGACAGACAAAGACATTACTGGGGTCTTAGGCAGCAGTGGTGACAGAGTGTGACCTGCAG